TTTCGGTGATTAAGCTCAGTAGTTATGAAGAAGGATAAGAAATTGGAAGGGCGTGTATGTAAAGATATTCAGTAATTGATGAGCAACACACTCATATAAAATATAGATATGATAGGATAAAAACAAGTAGGAAACAGATCTCAATCTAACTTGTTTCACTTTATTAAAGCTTCGTCAGAGATCAAAATAGAAAGGATAAAGTACGATAAAAAGCAAAGAGACGATGATTAAGTTTATATTCTCTTTGGTTAATTCTTATTGGTTAAATTATGCTAGCCTTATTAAAAAAAAGAACATAACCCTTTAAAGAGGAAATATTATAAAAAAAACATATTTATAGCAATACTACTATTAACAAACGTTTAAAAAAAAATTACATTTCTTCATTTTTCTACAGATCCATTATTCATGAATCTAAATTACGTCTATTCCATACATAAAATCAATGAAGATATATACAAAATACACACAAGATTTGTTTTAACGTGAAACCAAACCAAACCAAAACAAATTCTTTCAAAACCTCCTGGTGCGTCTCCCCAACTTTTAAACACTTTAGCATCCAGAATGTTTTCCTTCCACATATTTGAATATTATCTGTAAGTCTATAACACGTGACACCTATCTAACCAATAAGAAATAACCTGATTCAACATACCACTGATCCGCGTCTCTTTCTTTTCATCATGTTTTATCACTTCTATCTTGATCTGACTAACATACACGCTCATCTTTCTGGTTGATTGTCATTGAGTTAAGTCTGTACTGAGGCACTAGAGAATGTTAAGCAAGACATGCTACGTCGTGTTGTGCAGGAGTCGGACGAGCGACTTGACCTGTGTCACAGATGGTGCGCATATTAAACATTTGTAAAGCCTGTTCTAAAATCTGCATCCCTTTGTATACCTTGTTCGAATTTTGACAAATAAATCTTTCATTGTTTATGCCTATTTAAATTCGTTTCCATGGGATATATAGTTATTGACATATTCAGATTTTAAATGATGACAATTATTTAACACCATATATATATATATATATATATATATATATATATATATATATATATATATAATTTAAATGTGTCCTTTACATGAATATATAATGGACATTGCTAATTTTTTTAAAGAGCTCGCCATTGGCAAAAATATATAGTGAAGAGAAAACACAACACACATGGCGTAAAGATTCCACTTGGTATTGACCTGTTAACTTATATATTCCATTATTATAATAATTATAGTCAAAGTAATAACAAGGAGCCTAGCCCGTCAACGTAATCGTCGTTGCTTGATATTTATTTCATTATTTCAGAAGATAACAGATGTTAACTCGAATAGGCATTTCAACTAAAACTAAGGTATATATATATATATATATATATATATATATATATATATAAGTTCCTATCTATATATTTTGTGGGCATTTATCCCAAAGGATATTGCTTTGTGTCACCATTATAACCATCTTATTCTCGTTATCATTTCATATAAGTGTGTTGCAAAATAAACATTTTTCTCATATTTGTACGCAAAAGCTTGATTAATATCTAAAGACGATGACCCAATAATAACACCATGGTCTTGAGAACACCAATGGTACTCTATAAGGCACAACCGTGTTTCATAGACCAGAGAGACCATTTAGCTGTGGTCGGCAACCCGCTAGGTGTATCGATAAAACAAATGATTTGCCTGCTACCTTAAATTCACTAACCTTCATATGAATGAATTGTCCAAACAAAATATCGAAAAGAAAATAACGTCTTGAATGAAACTTTAAACAATAATGTTCTTAGAAAAAACTGGAACTTAAATTAAAATTATAGACACTCAGGAATCTGCTATCATGTAAGCCTCTTCAGATCTGAGGAATCTTGGAGACACAATAAATCAATATCAGGATTTCTATTGACTATTTGAATGCGTGACACTAACGATAGAATAATAAACGCTAATTGTCCAGACATCGAGATCAAAGACCACATATGTCTTTTTATTGACATGCCAACCCCTGGAGATTGTAATATATCTTTGAACATTTAAAAAATATATCAAAATACAAGGATCTTAAGTGGGAATCTGTTATAGTGGAACACACCTATTCTATAGTTAATAGACTCTCCCACCTATAATAAGTAGGAGTAGTAAGAGTCGCTCAGGGTGTCGGTCAGTCAGTCGACTGGCTGATCGGTTGAACTCTCTGCCTTCGGAAAGGGAGGAACCCGAAGGAGGCTACGCCGAAGGGCGGATTCTCTTTCGGGGAGGTAAACCGTCCCTGAACCCGTTTATACAGGTTCAATGGGCATATTTTTGGCCGAGCACACGGGCTCGGAGATCCAACGTTAAAAAGGCCTTGTGCCACATGACGCCCTCGTGGGGTGGGGGGGTGACTGAATATCGTTGGTCAATCAGTTGACTGGCTGATCGGTTGAACTATCTACGTTCGGGAGGGGAGGAACCCGAAAGAGGCTACGCCGAAGGGCGGATTCTCTTTCGGGGAAGTAAACCGAGCCTGAACCCGTTTATACGGGTTCAATGCGCATATTTTTGGTCGAGCCCACGGGCTGGGAGATCCAACGTTAAACTGGCCTTGTGCCACATGATTCCGTCGTGTGTGTGTGTGGGGGGGGGTGACTAAATATTGTTGGTCAGTCGATGTCGGACGACCGTTAGTCGGCTATGAAAGTATCAGCGACCACAACTAAATTACTGCGTCATTACCTATTATATCAAGTTCCTAACGTTTTGTACGTCGAACTTATTTTAGGACCGACTTAGTACAAATACAAGCCTCCACAGTGAAACCACTCTACAACAAAATCTAAAAAAAGGTGGCATATGAAGACACGAATGAATCCAGTTGATCTGAAAATGTTCCGATAGATAGACACAGATTTTTGGTAGCCCATGCCTTGAAGAAATACATAAGTACAGCTCACACATTACTAAGAGATTTATCTCTGTGAAATGTGATCTTAGTTTGTTTTGTTTATTTTACCGTAATGATCAGTGGAAGATGGCATGAAGCCATTTCTGAGATTAGGTCCCTCAATCACAAGACAGGGTGTTACAACTCGGAATGGAGCATGAAAGAAAGTCAAACGCTTCATACTGTATCAATAGAATCCCATAACTGTGCGAGAGAATTCTGGGTAAATATTAAGAATAACAGTGAAGTAGATACAACAGTCACAATATTAGGAAATATATCGAAACAAGAAGAGAAGAAACGAAGTCAAAAGCAAATAGATGAAAGCTGGAACAAAAAGTTTCGATATCGCTAGTTTCTTCGCCGAAGCAAAAATACTGATGTCGATCAATATGCCCCCTCCCCAAGTGTCTAAAAATTTCAGGACTGAAGGGCGTATTAAAGCTGTACTCTACAAGACCCTGATAGCAAACAACTACCAAGCTAAAAAATGTAGGTTATGTTGCCAATACATGGAAACTATTTATCACCTTATTTAAGATAATTAATACTCACACCCAAATAAGTACAAAGCCCGTCATGAGAGAGCAGTTTAATGTCTGCATTGTAAAATCTATCATTACTACGGGATAAAAAACAGGTGTAAACTGGTAGATCATCACCTTGAGTCTGTAGCTGAGAAAGCAAATCTAAGCATCATCTCAGATGTTTCTATCAACACTGACTGAACAACGGCAGAAAATCGTACGGACAATATTATCAAAGACGGAACAGTAAAAGTTTCCACACTGATTGACATAAGCATACCATGTGACAAAAACCTTTCTGTGTGTATGTGTGTGTGTGTGTTTTTTTAAGTAAGCAAATACAATGGCCAGGGGATAGAAGTAGAAAAATATATGGCTCTAAAAAACGGAAACTGTTCCTGTTGGAGCTTTCGGACTGCTAAACAAAAGTACTCAAAAATTAATCTACAAAAACCATCTCTCCAGGAGATATCAAAGAAATAGTCCTATGAAGAACAACCCTTATTTTGCGACGAGCTTTGTCCATTTTCAGCTTTTTTGTTAATAGCTGACGTTTTTTAAAAAAAAAAAAAAAAAAAAAAAAACAATAAAGAAAATCACATATTCACTAGTTCTAAGTTATTTGTTCTGGCCAGAAAGGATGGTGCATACTACTCACAAAACTCCCGACTGGGGAGAGAAAACCTGAATGGAGTTCGGGGGCAGAGCTTTATGACACTCGTTATTCCATTTTTTTTACCTACATTTATATACGTCAAAATGAAACTAAGCAAACAAAAAGTTGGGTCGGATTTTGACACCAATCGTGAAACTTCTTTTGTTCAAATTCTTGAATTAGTTTTGCTAATACCAAGTCACGAAAAAAAAAAAAAAAACTATGAAATTCACTATTTTTCCATAATGCTGAATGCATGAAAATTATTCAAATCTAAACAAGGAGATCTCAAGTTGATATTAAATTTTGCTGCAAAACGTTGATTTATTTAAGATGGAATTATATATTCTTACATGTTGCTAATTGACATTTAGACACATTGAATTTTTTTTCAAATTTTCTACTTGAATAGTTCGCTGCATGTGATCCATTCTTTCGCATAATTCGATTACAATAAAATTTGTATTTCATATGAATACTGCATCATGAAAATTGAGATGGAACACCGTGGGGGTCCTGTATCACAGATTCGGGGGCGGTATCCACGAGAGTCTTATATATATATATATATATATATATATATATATATATATATATATATATATAAAACTTTTGCATTTAGATTGATTTAGTTTTATGGATTATCAACGTTTGCAGGTTATGTGATGTCAGAAAATACTTTGAAATTTTAAGAACTGTTTTGAAATAATTGTTTAGTTATACAAATATTAATAATTAACATATAACAGGGAGGGGGAATTCATAACTTTCCTAAGGGTATTTGAGCTTAAATTAATATAATGATCCTTATTGGATTTAGAACTCTGCTCTCTGATTAACAATACCGAGCTATTATCTCGTACATCCCCTGCAATTCCAAGCTTACAGCCCCCCCAATATTCCCAAGCTATCACTCATCTAGGTACTAAACAGGCTCGATGTTGCCTAAATTCAGAGATCGTATGGGAACCGGTATTTCAATGGCATACGGACGTAAAGTAATATAGATAGCCTGGTCGGTTTGTCAGAGATAGTGAGAGAGGAGATTCATTAAGGTGCTTCGAAAATTGTTCTTATACTGCCTTTCTGAATGTGTTTTCTGCGCTACACAAACCACTTTATTGTAAGGTTCTTTCATTGTACATAAGCGAGAGACCGTCTGAGTAGGCAGGAAGATATTTCTAACGGGGCCCCACCTTCAACTCAACATGAAAATCTTTCTAACGGGGCCTCACCTTCAACTCGACATGAAAATCTTTCTAACGGGGCCCCACCTTCAACTCGACATGAAAATCTTTCTAACGTGGCCCCACCTTCAACTCGACATGAAAATCTTTTCTCAACGTGGCCTTTCGACTGAAAACTCGACATGAAAATCTTTCTAACCTTTTCACCTTCAACTCGACATGAAAATCTTTCTAACGGGGCTCACCCCGACATGAAAATCTTCAACTCGACATGAAAAATGAAAATCTTTCTAACGGGGCCTCATGAAACCTAACGGGGCCTCACCTTCAACTCGACATGAAAATCTTTCTAACGGGGCCTCACCTTCAACTCGACATGAAAATCTTTCTAACGGGGCCTCACCTTCAACTCGACATGAAAATCTTTCTAACAGTTCCCCATCTTCAAGGACAGTTGTTTTTTTTTTTTTTTTTTATTAAGACCTGTCAGTTTATCACGTCGCATCTGGCTGTGATGCATGTGCATCGTATACTTTTATTAGACAAATTGTCAAGGTATGTTAGGTTTCGTATATTTGTACCCTCGCATCGCATTTTGACGAGCTGATCTCCTGTTCAATACTAATAACAATCTATCAGTTTGAATAGAATTTATGACTGGCGGATACACCGATCGTTTCTGACAGTTATGAGACATTATTTGAAATAGAATTTCCAAGTCCATCGTTTCAGCCAGTGAGCAGAAATGAAACACGATTTGACCATATTGCACAAAAGTTTGTTTAAGCGTTTTTCGGACGGTCACAGCACATATTGAAGGTAAGATGGATAAAGGAAAGCAGCGCGTATACCTACATAACAAGTATGTGTAAATGATTGGCATAACGAGTATTGAGAGAGAGAGAGAGCAGAAAGACAACATTTACTAAGACCTAGGAAGACAACGTTTACTAAGGCCGAGGAAGACAACGTTTACTAAGGCCGAGGAAGACAACGTTTATTAAGGCCGAGGAAGACAACGTTTACTAAGGCCTAGAAAGACAACATTTACTAAGGTCGAGAAAGACAACATTTACTAAGGTCTAGAAAGACAACATTTACTAAGGTCTAGAAAGACAACATTTACTAAGGTCTAGAAAGACAACATTTACTAAGGCCGAGAAAGACAACATTTACTAAGGCCTAGAAAGACAACATTTACTAAAACCTAGGAAGACAATATTTACTAAGACCTAGACAGACAACATTTACTAAGGCCTAGGAAGGCAACATTTACTAAGACCTACAAAAACAACATTTACTACGACCTAGGAAGACAACATTTACTAAGACCTAGAAAGGACAGAAAATTGTAAAGATTAATGATCGGCCACGTCCATTTTGATCATTACGTGCTCTAGAAATTTCCAGTGTCTCTTCCTGATGTGATGCTTAAGTCTCCTTTTTGTTTTAGTTTTTTCTAAAACTTCGCCGTTGCTTTCATGTTCAGACCCTGGTATTCTCAGCATCCTCCTGCAGAACCACATTTCTGTTACTTCAAGTCTCTTCAATCATCTTTGAGGAGATTGTCCAACATTCCCTACCATTTAGGACTGATATTACATATCAGCTCAGTACTTTGTTTCTAACGAAATTTTCCTGTTTCTTAATACTTTGCTTATCTTTGGAAGGAATCTTTCACCAGTCTAATGCTTCTTCGGATTTAGGTGTCTCACTTTCCGTCCTATGTTGAAACACTTCCCAGTTATTTAAATTGTCATTTTTTTTTATTTTGATGTGTCTAGCGGCTCGGATTGAAAAATCGGAGAGCCGAGTTCGAATTCCACTCGGATCCGTTACATACACTTACGTGCTAATTCCCTTGGGAAAGGTATGAATTCTGTTCTTCTCCCCACCCCAGCTATAGGGGGGGAAGAAGAGGGTTCTAAGAAATAGCAAGATACTGCGGGAAAAAATCTGCCTCGTCAGTCATGTATCGAAAGATACATGATCACCTACGCATGATTTGTTCTTTTGTGTTTTCGAGTATTACGTTCATTCTCAGTTATTATTAAGAACTGGATATTGTCATTATGTGTGACGATATTTAGTCACAGTTAATTCAAATATACATGTATCGTCAATGCGATGTCATATGGAAAAAAAAACAAAAAAAAAACGGGAAATTTTTTTTACAATAACTACATCCTTCCTCATGAAAATATATTTTATTTAATATTTCTTTAATCCTTTCATCCCCAAGTAAGGCGGAAATGCCATTAGTACGCGGGGGGTGGTGGTTACAGGGAGTGAATGTGAGGGAAAAGACTGAATATACGGAGAATTGAGGAAAGGGCAAAAGATGAACAGAATTTAAGATGGCGATTGAAAAAGAAGCTCCACAGGCGGGAAGTTCCAGAAAAAAAAACCAAAAAACTATTGAAGTAGAAGAGGAGGCTGCATTTAGCAATTTAATCAGGTGGGGTTCATTGTATAATAACTAATTCTACTTTCATTGAGTACTATGTATGGTTTTTTTCGTCACATCTACAAGCGTAGCTTAGATGTGGCACAAGGCCGAAAGTAGGTGGCGCCCAGTGAGGATCGACCTCACTACTCAGTAGTAAATGTTCTAGCGAGACAAGCTTGCTAACCATTACACCGTTTCGAGGTGCCCCGTCACATCTTATATCCGTCTCATATTAATAGTTAACTGTGATGAGATGATCGATTTATCTAATAAAGGTACTAAATTTCGGTACTTGACAAATGAACACAAGAGAATGCGTGCTTTCCTTAGAAAGAGTATTGAAAAGAAAACTCTCTATATATAATTTTTTAATGAATAATGCTCAATTGTGCGTTGTGATGTCATGGCTCTCGTGTCAGAATGAGAAATCGTAGAACGAAGATCGAATTCCAATCGAGTTCGTTTAATTCACTTACGCGGAGATACTACTGGTAAAGTTGTGAATGTACCTCTTCTCCCCCCAGGTATAGGTTAATCAGTTGGAGATGTATCAGTAAGTCATTTTAGTTAAATATATCTTTCAAACAATATACCGCAGAAAGAAATGGCAACCTACTTCAGGAGAATATTCTGCCTCGTCAGTCAGGAATCGAAAGAGACAGGATTGTCCAAGCGTGAATCACGTATGGCATTTAACTGAATGCTCAGTTAGATCTCATTATTATGGTGTCATACAGAAACATCTACCTGTAATCAAAGATCAGACTGCATTGGCCTCCGCAATTTTTTTCTCATCTTTTAAATCTCGGTCATTTAACAGTCAAGTATCAGAAATGTGATGCTACGAAAATATACTAGACATCTTCTGCATAGAATTACAGTCCAATGTAACACTGGACAAGAAACAAACCAATCGGAAGACGACTTAATCACCGTCAAAAAGAAGTTGAAATGATATGGCTACCTCATAAGAATAATCATTCATTTCACTGCCAACTTATAAGTTAACATCTTAGGCAAAGAATATGATAAAGTATTGTTCGAAAATGTCAGGAAGATGATTCACAGAGACTCGAAAATAGACATGCAATCGAGGCATATGGAAGGTGGGGTTGTTCCCTGCTCAAGTGGGACCCTACGAACACCCCAGGTCATTGAATTGATGAGACTGTAACAGAAGGGCTCAGCAATTTTCGAACACAAATAATGTTAATATGCGGGTCTTGTGATTTTTCGGAACGAGAAGACGTCTTTGAGGCGACACTCTCAAATTTCAAAAATTAAGTTTAATTGTTCTAATCTCCCGAAAACTCTATTCAGTAGCTATGATGCAGCGTAAATATTAAATTTTAGAAGCAGTGAATCGGAAGTTATTTTGAATGAAATGTTTAATAATTCTTCCACTTTTTCAAGTGAAAACTGCGAATCGTTTCCGCCTGACAGAGTTGCATATATTATATTCTAATGTCCGTTATTTAGTGCCGAAATAATCGTTGCAGTGAAAGAGGAATAATTGAATTGAATGGCTTCTTTTTTTCTCTCCAGAATCTCTCTTAAATATTTATAAGTCTTCCATTAGCACATGCTTTCAATACTGCTGCCATATATGGCCCGGTGCTACTGCTGTATATTAACAGATACTTCATAAAAAGAAAAATCAGCAATATTATTGGTCCTGACCTGGCATCTTGCCTTCAGTCACTTTCAAACCGCCGTAATGTTGCTTCACCGTGCCATTACTCTAAGTACGGCCAGGTAATTGTTCTGATGAACTTGTCTCTAGACTTAAGGAATTTAAGTGCTTTACTAGATTGGCGGACAGGCTTCGTCAATTCATGGTTGAATTGGCTAGATGTAACCGTAAGTTCCGTGCTAACAGTTTTTATTCTCACACTTATCGCTTGTGGAACTTTCTTCTAGGTTTGATCTTCAAAAATTTAAATGTAATGCCTTCTGTGAGTAACAGATATTTTAATGTCTGTACTTGTTTGGTTTTAGTATCCCAAATTTTGATTAAAGTTCTTTTTTTTCTAGATCTCAAATGAAAACTTGGGAAATTTCCAAACATATTTCAGCTATTTTCACTTTCCAAAATGATAATTTATAATTATACTTTAGATACAGGTGTGATCAATTTAAAATAACGGCCAAAGAATGTAAGTTAAAAAATCCTATTCTACAAGAGAACATACAGTAAGTGTTATTTTTTCTTTAGACATTAACGCCATTCGCGGGCGCCATGTTTGGTACTGGTTTTATCCTGGAAATGCGTTAAGTGTAATTTCATTTGATAATTCAATTTTTACTTTTGCAAATTCGATTAAATATTTGATTCTAGAACGTCTTGC